CTCTCGGCTCTTTCACTAGTCAATGAAGACAAAATTCGAGGGCTAGTGAGGGAGATTAAGTTGCAGGGCAAAAAGATTTCTTCCTTAGAGGAAAGTTTGAATAAGAGCAAAGCTGATTTCAAGTGGGTATCCAACGAACGAGATAAATTGTTGGAAGGTCGTCATGCCTTTGAAGAAGAGAAACAAACTTGGGCTGCCGAGAAGACGGCGATTGAGAAAGAGTTGGACGAGATACGCCTGGCCCGGGACAAGTCGGCCGATGCCGTGAGCGTCTTTGAGAGCAACTTGTCTTTAATGAAAGTTGAAGTAGAGAAGCTCCAAAACAACCTTCAAGCGGCCAAGATGGACTCTATGAAGAAATTCGTCCAAGGTTTTGATGCGGCGACTTCACAAATAAAGTTTCTTCATGGCGATCTTGATACTGGGGGTATGGGGTATTTTAAGGAGATCGTTAATGGGGAGTTGGTGGATCCTCCCGAGGATGATTAAAATTGTTGGTGATTTGTAGTCTTTTTTATTTCTTGAACTATGCAGTACTGTGTACTTTTCCTTGTCATGAACTATGCAAATTTTACTTTCCTATTGACGATCATGCTCCCTTTTTTAAGATTTTTGAAAGTGTTTAAAATTTTCTAAGTTAAAATAATCGCCCAAATTCCGAGTAAGAAAGAATCAGGTCTCGCCTAAAATCCGAATAAGAAAAAGAATATAATTATTATAAGTTCAGAATGGCATTTGAATCACGTATCGCCCAAATTCCGAGTAAAAAAGATAATAAATATGTAAAGTTTTCTAAGTTAAAATAATCCCCTAAATACCGAGTGGGAAGGAAGAAATAGAAAATCCCAAGCTAAAGTCACGTTTGAATCAAGTGATCGCCTACGTGCCGATTCAAAACTTCGTGCTGAAAACTTTCTTCAAAAAAAAAAAAAGGAACTTGACCAAGTAATCGGTCATATGCGTACTTAATATGATGAGTGGAAATTTTGAGTTAAAATGTGCGTGGAAAACTTTCTAAGTAAACATGAAAAATTAAATTTTGCAAAGGTTGTCGCCCAAATTCCGAACCGTAAAGATAAGTGGAAAATATTCTGTTAAAATTAAATTTGGCAAATCCGGTCGGCCAATTTCCGAGCCAATATGGTGATTGCCAGAATTCTGACTAAGGAGATGTGAGAAAATTCACCAATTTAAAAAGCTTCAAATAGAGTAGTCGGCAAAGTTCCGACTAGGTCACCTTGGGTCGCCGAAATACCGACTGGAGTCGCCAAAATACCGACTTGAAAAAATGTAAAAATTCTCCATGTTAAAAAACTTCAATTAGAGTAGTCGGTCAACTTCCGACTAGGTCACCTTGAGTCGCCTAAATACCGACTTGAAAAATTTAAAAATTCACAAATTTAAAAAAGCTCCAAATAGCGTAGTCGGTCAAGTTCCAACTAGGTCATCTTGGTTTGCCGAAATACCGACTTGAAAAAATGTAAAAATTCACCAAGTTAAAAAACTTCAATTAGAGTAGTCGGTCAGTTCCGACTAGGTCACCTTCAGTCGCCTAAATCCCGACTTGAAAAAATGTAAAAATTCACCAAGTTAAAAAAGCTTCAAATGGCGTAATCGGTCAAGTTCCGACTAGGTCATCTTGGTCCGCCGAAATCCCGACTTGAAAAAATGTAAAAATTCACCAAGTTAAAAAAGCTTCAAATAGCGTAGTCGGTCAAGTTCCGACTAGGTCATCTTGGTCTGCCGAAATACCGACTCGAGGAATGTGTGAGAGAAACTCATCAAGCTAACGCGTCTAGTGAGTTATTTATACTCGCGCAGTCGAATTTTGACCGATCAATCACGAGTTTGTCTTCGAGTTATTTATACTCGCCCAGTCAGATTTTGACCGATCAATCACGAGTTTGTCTTCGAGTTATTTATACTCTCCCAGTCAGATTTTGACCGATCAATCACGAGTTTGTCTTCGAGTTATTTATACTCGCCCAGTCGAATTTTGACCGATCAATCATGAGTTTGTCTTCGAGTTATTTATACTCGCCCAGTCAGATTTTGACCGATCAATCACGAGTTTTGGTGCCTTTAAAATAACACATGTTAGAAGTCATAGAAGAAACAATAGGGGATGATATTTATTAAAATTGAGCAATTATTAACTTGTGGTGCCTCATTAAAAACCTTCTCAGCAAAAACCCCTCTCATTTTTACGGGGAAAAAATACTGAGTTAGGAAAAGAGTGCACCTAATACAAATGGAAAGACTAGCTATAATAGAAGCACAAGTTTGCAGCGTTCCAAGTTCTCAGTATGTTCCTTCCTTCCAGGGTTCTCAATTGGTAAGCTCCTTTGCTGACCACATCATCAACTTTATAAGGGCAGATCCATTTAGGTGATAATTTGTTCCTCATTTGAGTTAGCTGAGCACGCTTCAAGACGAGCTCTCCTACCACGAAGTCTCTTGGAACGACTTTCGTTTTATACTTGAAAGCTGCCCTTCGTTGCGCTGCTACTTGATTTATCCTTGCTCTCTCTCTTGTTTCTGTGATCAAGTCCAAATCAACTCGTCTTCCCTGTAAGGATTCCTCCTCGGAGAAGCCTGTAGTATGCACTAAGGATTCTGCGATCTTGATCGGGATCATCGCGTCCATTTCGTACACTAGGTTGAAAGGGGTGTCTTGGGTCGACGAATGAACGGTTGTGTGGTATGACCATAACACTCGGGGAAGCTCCTCCACCCACGAAGTGCCTGAGTCTTGGACGCGCTTCTTCAATCCAGAGAGTATAACTTTGTTGGCCGACTCCGCTTGGCCGTTAGATTGAGGGTGTTCAACGGAAGTGAATGTCATTCGGATGCCGATCTCCCTACAGAAATCACAAAATCGCCCACTCGCGAATTGGGTCCCGTTATCCGATACGAGTACTTGGGGAACACCATATCTGCATACCACATTCTTCCATAAAAATGTCCTTACCTTCTCCGCCGAAATGGTTGCTACGGGCTCCACCTCAATCCACTTGCTGAAGTAGTCTACAGCCACTATCAAGAATTTTAACTGTCTCACCGCGATCGGGAATGGGCCGAGAATATCAATACCCCACTTGTTGAATGGCCAAGGAGACAAGATTGAATGGAGTCGTTCGACCGGAGAGTGGTGCAACGTTGCGTGTCTTTGACATCCATCACATTTTTGAACCCAATTGATGCAGTCGTTTCTCAAAGTTGGCCAAAAATACCTTGCCCTCGCAACTTTGTATACTAGTGCTCGTCCTTCGATATGACTTCCACACATGCCGCCATGTACTTCATCCATCACTCTCTGTGCTTGCGACGTGGTCAAACATCTCAAAAGGGAGAGTTGAAACCCCTTCGATACAATCTTTCGTTGATGACTACGAACCTGGGTGACTTTCTCTGTATCAGTGACGCCTCCTTCTTATCCTCTAGCAACACCCCCGAGTCAAGTATGCGATGTATGGTCCCATCCATGAATCGAGCTCTTCGTGGATGAAAAGAACACTCCCCTGTGGCTCATTAATACTTGGTTGCGCTAAGGTTTCTTGGATAACCGACCGAGTGGCTCCTGGCTTCTTTGTGCTTGCAAGCTTGGAGAGCAGATCGGCCTGCGAATTTTGCTCTCGTGGTACGTGGTTAAGTGTGAACTCTTGGAAATTTTCCGATAGGAGTTTGACCTTTTCCAAGTACTTGGCTAATTGAGGATCCTTCACCTGGAAGGTTCCAGCCACTTATCCGGTGATCAACTAAGAGTCGCTTCTAGCTGACAAGCTCGTCGCTCCCATCTCCTTTGCCAAAACCATTCCTGCCAACAGTGCTTCGTATTCTGCCTGATTATTGCTCGCCCGGAACTCGAAACGTAGTGACTGTTCCAACAATATGCCCCCGGGACCTTCCAAGACAATTCCCGCTCCGCTTCCTTCGAGGTTCGAAGCTCCGTCTACTGATAGAATCTATTGGGTTTCTCCGACACTCCCCGCCTCAATAGGAGGAGTCAATTCCATCAGGAAGTCGGCCAAAGCTTGAGCCTTGATTGCTCCCCTCGGCTCATACTTGATGGAGAATTCTGATAGCTCAATCGACCACTTCATCATTCTTCCTGCCAAGTTGAGCTTCTGTAAGACTTGCCGGATCGGGTGGTCGGTTCGGACTACTGCTTCATAGCTCTGGAAGTAGTGTCTCAATTTCCTCGCGGTGACTAATATTGTAAGAGCCAACTTTTCAATCTTCTGATACCTCGTCTCCGCTCCCTGTAAGACCCTACTCACAAAGTAGATAGGAACTTGAGAAGCTTCCTGCTCTTGTACAAGGACCGCACTAACTGCTTGGTCGGATGCCGATATGTAGATCAACAAGTGGGTGTTCGGACATGGTTTTGTCAGAATCGGCGGTGATGCAAGTGACCTTTTTAGTTCCGTGAAAACTTCTTCGCACTCGGTCGTCCAAGTGAAAAGATCGTTCTTCTTTAAACATCGAAAAAGCGGTAACGCCTTATCAGCTGCCCTTGACAGGAATCGGGACAGAGAAGCCATTCTTCCCGTGAGTTGCTGGACTTCCTTCACCGTGGATGGACTCCTCATGTTGATGATGGCCGAGCAGTTGTTAGGGTTTGCTTCAATGCCACGATGAGTCAGTAGGAAACCGAGGAATTTTCCCGCTTGGATCCCGAAAGAGCACTTTTCGGGATTCAACTTGAGCTGGTACTTGCCGATAGTGTCGAACAACTCCTGCAAGTCATCAAAATGCCGATTGACGCTTACCGACTTCACCACCATGTCGTCCACATAGGCTTCCACATTCCGACCTAGTTGATTCACAAGAACCTTGTCCTTCAGTCGCTGATAAGTTGCCCCCGCGTTCTTTAGACCGAATGGCATAACCCTGTAGCAGAAGTTGGCTTGATCTGCTATGAAGGCTGTCTTGTCCTCATCTGCTGGATGTATTTGGATCTGATTGTATCCCGAGTAAGCATCCATGAAGCTCAGCAACTAGTACCCCGACGCTCCATCCACCAGGCAGTCTATGTTTGGTAGCGGGTACGAGTCCTTTGGGCAGGCCCTATTCAGGTCAGTGAAGTCCGTACACATCCTCCATTTTCCATTACTCTTGCGCACCATGACTACGTTTGCTAACCAGGTTGGATACTGGATTTCTCGGACATGTCCCGCCTTTACCAACTTTTGTGTCTCTTCCGCAATGGCCCTTCGCTTTTCCTCACCGAACTTCCTTCTCTTCTGGATCACCGCCTTCGCACTAGGGTCTATAGCAAGTTTGTGGCACAAGAAATCTGGATCAATGCCAGGCATGTCGCTGGAATGCCATGGAAACGCCGACACATTTTCTTTTAGAACCTTTACCAACCTCTCTTCGTCCTCGGGAGTTAAAGAAGTACCTATCTTTACATTTCTCCCTTCCATTACCTCCATTTCCTTGACATCTTCTGCGGGGGCGGGTCGGTGATCGAACTGACCCATTCTAGGATCCAGTTCAACGGAATGGATGTGTTTCTCAGCTGGAGCGGTATATAAACGCCTTCTCGCCTTCAGACTGTCCTTGTAACACTTTCGGGCGACCTCTTGATCTACTTTGAGGACCCCGACATCCCCATTCGGCAATGGATACTTCACCTTCAGATGTGATGTTGACACTATGGCTCCCAGTTTGTTCAGCGTAGGTCTGCCGATAAGTATATTGTAGGACGACTGAGCGCTCACCACTAAATATCGGATAATTACCGTTTTCATCTACGAACCCTGTCCGAAGGTTGTTTCCAAATCGGCGTACTCTCTAGCCATAACCTGGTCTCCCGCAAAACCTACTAGGGTTCCCGTGTAGGGTACTAGTCGGTCGTTGGGGATCTTCATTCCCACGAAAGCTTCCAAAAAGAGGATGTCGGCCGAGCTTCCCTAGTCGACTAGAACGCGCTTCACATTATAGCCCATCACTATCGTCGAGATGACGAAGAATCATCCTTGTGAGGAGCTACCCCTTCGTAGTCAGCGTCCGAGAAGGAAATCGTGGGTTGGGGTGGTCGGCGGATTTCCAACATGGACAGGACAAAGCGGGTGTACCTTTTCCGAGCAGCCGAGGTGACTCCTCCTCCTGCAAATCCTCCTGCCACTATGTTGAAATCCCCATGAATTGCTTGCTGATGGACCTCCGATGACTTTGCTGGAGTGTCCTTGGGGGGAGTTCTCTCTCTGTGCCTATCCCTCCTTGTGTCGTCCTGTACACGCCTGTGTCGCCTATCCGATGAGCCTTCTTCCGATTTTCTTGCCACAAACTTTTTCAGACGTCCCTCCTTGATCAAGCGTTCGATCTGTCTCCCAAGGACGAAACAATTTTCCGTGGAATGCCCGTGAGTCCTATGAAACTCACACCAGTCGATCTTGAAGGGACCCAACTGGCGCTCCGTCGTCGCTGGGAATCCGAATAGCGACGCACTGTTGACATCGTGAAGTATCTGCCTCCTAGGGACGTTGAGTGGAGTAAACTTCTCATCCTCGTTGGCTCGTGTTCACTCTCCCCTTGGCCGACCGCCACGATCGGCCTGTCGGTAATTGCTCTCCTTCATGTTATAGCGATCACGTCGCTTATTCCAATCTGAACGTGGTCGAAGATGTTTGTTGCTCTCCTTATTGCTACCCCCTGCCTCCTCCCAGTTTTCAGCAGCCCTTTTGTTAATTTGTCCTTCCTCCGTCTTGATGTGACTCAGGGCAAAAGCTCTCACTTCCGACATCGTTTGACAATTTTCTCTTTTGAGCACGATGTCAAAAGCTCCAAACCTTAGACCCTTTTGGAATGCAATGACAGCTATCCTTTCATCCAACGACGCTATCCTCAAGGCGACCTCGTTGAATCTTTGCAGAAAGTCCTTCAGCGACTCCTCGCGTTGCTGTTTGAGGTCGAACAAGTCCGACGTGATCGGCGATTTCTTCTTGTTAGCAGCGAACTGTGCCATGAAAAGCCGACTAAAGACATCGAAGCGATGATTGATCGGTTAGGGAGACCACTAAACCAATCAAGTGCTGCCTTTTTGAGCGTGCCCATGAACAATTTACAGCGGACTTCCATACTCCCTCCACAATTCAACATTTGAGCTCGAAAATCTGTCAAGTGCTGACTGGGATCCTGCGTTTCATCAAAAGGCTCGACTTGGGGTACCTGATGATCCCTCGGGATGATCTCGGCCTCTATGGCTTCCGAGAAAGGTCGAAAATCCCTAGGGACTTCCATCATGACATCTTCCTCCACCGTCCTGGCCCTGGCCGTTATCATGGCCTGCATCTCATCCGCTCGTCTCCTGATCTCCTCGTTTTCCCGTTGGATGGCCTCCTCTCTCTCCCTGGATCGCGCATTCTCCTCCCTTAAGCCATTGATCATGGCCATCATCTCCTCCATGGTAGGGTGTTGTGAGTCGTTGTTCGATGTGCCGCCTCTTGCCATGGTAAAGTGCAGGTTCTTCTATATGACTTGGGGCGTAGGAAAAGTTTCACCGTAGTCCCACGGTGGGCGCCAAAATGTTCCGGCCAAGGGGTGCACTAGGGTTTCTTCCTAGATTAAGCCTCAAAGCCAGAACATTCAAAAGTGTAATCTGCCGTCTCAACTCTAGGGTTTTTCGTTTTATAGTCTCTTGTTTACGGGCTTTATGGGCCCCGAGAGTGTAGGGATTTCCTTAACCGCTCTAATCTGGAAAATATTTGGTGAGGGACGGTGGGACCTTGTCCTAGCTATCGGATAGCTCCTATCTGCGAAGATTGGGTCGGTGGCCAACTGACTAGACCTTCACTGAGTGTTTAATCGGATGACGGCCGAGTGGGCTCTTTGGGCGAGTAAGGTGATGGAGGACCATCCATGGTACTTCATGTGAAACCCATCACATGGTCCAATGCTATGACTAATTTTGAGTAGTGTAGGATTTATTTGGTTTATTCCAATTTTACCCTTGTATTTTGGGGTATTTTAGTCATAGGATTTATTTTCTTTGTATTTCCTATTTTACCCTTGTATTATGGGGTGCTTTAGATGATTAGGGTTTTTATTTTGGGCTAGGGTATTCCATTAGGAGGTGACGCCTATTTTGGTGGTTTTTGGATCTATTTTTGGTGTTAGAAAGGCTTAGGCCCAAGTGGAGGGCAAAG